CTGTCGGATATGGGTCCGTAATGAGGGGGGGATGGAGATCCCCAGGATCTCGCATTTTCCAGTGTTAATTTTGAAGTTTGATAAGGCCCCAAAGGTCTATTTCCGCCTGTACGTGAGGGAGTGTCTGGAGTGGGTCTGTGATGGTGAAGAGAATGTCATCCGCGAATGCGGAGACTCTCACCTCACCCCCGCGGTGTTGGTAACCTCTGATTTTAGGATTGCCTCGGACAGCTTTCAGAAATGGCTCTACTGCCAGAACAAATAAGAAGGGTGATAATGGGCAGCCTTGTCGGGTTCCATTGCTTATTTGAAAGGTGGCAGATGAGTGGCCATTTACTCTAACGGTGGCTGTAGGTCCCCTATACAGTGTGTGTATCCAATTCCTGAGTTTCGGGCTGAATCCCAGACCCTCCATCACTCTAAATAGATAGGTCCAATCCACCCTATCAAAGGCTTTTTCTGCATCTATGCCCAGCAGTAATGTCGGTGTGTTAGTTGTGTTCACTCCATGTATGATATTTATTATTATCGTAGTATTGTCCCTGGCCTCGCGGCCAGGTACAAAGCCTGCTTGGTCAGAGTGGATCAGATCTGGCAATAGGGGTTTGATGCGATTGGCGATTAGTTTGGCTATCAATTTTAGGTCGAGGTTGAGAAGGGATATGGGCCTATAGTTGCCGCACGCCTCAGGGTCCTTTCCTGGTTTGGGAATAATAGTAATTGATGCTCGCAGCATTGGGGGAGGTAAGGGGAGTCTTGTCCCAACCCGTTTAACATACTAAGGAAGTGTGGTTTCAATTCCCCTGCTAGTGTCTGATAGTACCTTGCTGTTAGTCCGTCTGGGCCAGGGCTCTTGCCTTTTGGCATTGTTTTAATAGCTAAGGCGAACTTGGCATGGGAGAATGGCTCATCCATGGCATCTGCGGCTTTGTCTGTGATTTTGGAGGGAAGGTTGGTAGTCAGGTATTCTTGGATTTTGAGGGGAGTTCCCTCTGGAGGTGGGAGATTATAAAGAGTATGATAGAATTCGCGGAACGCTTCGGTTATACCGTTAGTGGTGTTACATTGTTTCCCCATTCTGTCTTTTATACTGGCTATAAAAGGATTTTTTACGTTTGGCTTTTAGTGCACGTGCTAGCAGTTGCTCACTCTTATTACCGTGTGCGTAAAAGGAGCTTCTCGTCAATTGGGCTGATCTATGTGCTTTTAGGGACAGCAGGGATCAGAGCTTGATTCTGAGAGCCATTAGTTTTTGGAAAGTTTCTTGGGTGGGATTCTGTTTGTGTAGTGTTTCCTGCTCATGTATGGCGTCAGATAAGGTGACCTGTTTGTGTGATCATTCTTTCTTAATTCTAGAGCCCCATGTTATCAAGATTCCTCTAATTACTCCTTTGTGTGCTTACCAAACCCATGGGTCTGAGACGTCTGCTGTGGCATTGTCAATGAAGTAGTTGTGTAGGGTCATCGTCAGGTCCTCAACCACTCTAGGATCATCCAGAAGGGTCTCATTAAGTCGCCAGTGTACACTATGATTGGTGGTGCTTTTTAGTGTTATGTTCAGAAATATTTGGGCATGATCAGACCATGTGATGTTGCCAATGGATGCGTCTTTTAGCATTGAGAGATGTCGATGGCTCAGGAATAACATGTCAATTCTAGAGTAGCTTTTTTGCAACTGAGGAGTAATAGGTGTAATCCCTGTCTTGTGGATGTGTTAGACGCCAGCAGTCCATGAGCCAGCAAAGTACGTTGGTGGCGTCTAATGTCTGTGGTGTGAGATGAGCTGCCTACTGAGTGGTCAAGTACCATGTTCCAATCCCCACCTGAAATCACCATCCCCTCAGAAAAGCTCTCCAATTTGTTCAAGCAGGACCGAGCAAAGGATCCTTGATCTGAGTTCGGTGCATATATGTTAGCGAGTGTAATTAGGGATCCTTGACATTTCCCCTTAACAAATATAAATCTTCCCCCTGGGTCTGTTTTAATGCTGGCATCCGTGAGGGCCGCCTGCGAGGTAATTAATATTGCTACTCCTCTGGATTTGCTCCTACCATAATTGCTTAATATGTTTGTTGGATATGCTTAGACCTGAGCTTTGGTTGGAAATCGCCTCTGTAGTGTGTTTCTTGGATAAATATGATGTCGGCTCTCTGTCTATCAATCTCCTGCGTTAGTATATTGCGTTTTTCTGGGGTGTTGAGGCCCCTCACATTTAGGGACATTATTTTAATGTGTGCCATCTGAGTATGGTTGTTTGTCTTGGTGCTGAGGAGAATGGTAATGCCGCAAGAATGTGCAGGCAATAACTAGGGAGGGGAGAGGGGACAGGGGTAAATAAAAACTATACACATGAATATGATGCAAGGGCTTCATATTGGTAGTGAATTGGCACTGCACTTGTGGGAGACTTATTCGTGTCCCCAAGTAGTTTATCAAGCGCCTCTCTGGGGGGTGGGGGTCGTTCTGCTGTGACAGGACCTAAGCGGGTTAATTTAATGAATGGATAGTGGGACTGCAGAATCCTTAATGGATTTCCCCTGTTCCCCACAGTGTCCCGTTGGGTGGACCCGGTTCCGGGCTGCCTAAAGCCCCATTAATCTGAATTAAGGGTCAGTACTTCTGAATGTGAGGGCTGTGGGAGCCCGGTTGGCATAAGTTCATAGACATTATGTTTGGCAATGACAGCTTGAATAGACAGGAACTAAACATAGTAGAGTTTAGCTAAGATAATATAACCATTATGTATCCTCAGTATGTGACTTCTTTAAGACCAGTTAGTCTAATTCAAGGGTGTACACTTCGAAATGTAGGGGCCGTGGGGGCCCAACTAGCATAATGTCATATGTATAATGTTTGGCAATGACAAAATGAATAAACTGAAACTAACTACGTTAAAGTTTGGCTTAGAAAAGAAACAAACACAAAACAAAAACATTAGCATTATGCATCCTCAGTATATGAGGTAGATAAGGTAAAGGATATACGTGGACTTCAGGCCACCTTGTCTCTAGGCGTATTGGGGGTATTAGTCCCGGCCTGGGTCTGCCGTCCGCATTTCCTCTGTGTTCTTTGCCACCTGGGTCTTTGCTGCTTCGGTATGGACGTGCAGTTTGCTAGGCCAGTACAGTCCTGTAACGGATCGCCTGGCACCCCGACTGGGTACCTCCGATGAAGGATGCTCCTACCGCTTCCTGAGGACTCCAAGCACTCTGGCAGACACCACAATCACCGAACCGGAGAAACAAATAAATTCTCCCAAGCATATGAATGCTGTAGACAGTTGAATAGGAAACCATACAAATAGGTTTACCCTCCTAGCAGTCAAACTGGAACAGCATACAATAAATCCTTCCCCCAATAATGAGACGACACTTCACTTTGAGGGTTAAATAGGAACTGACTGTACTGGCACATACAGCCTCTTTTATTCCCAATCCACAAACTTAGTACTGCCCACAAGGTTTTACAGAACAACCAATCTGTACAATACACACAGAAACTCCCACACAAAATCCTCCCCTCTGCCTGCAATACAATTACCTTACACAATGGGTAATCTAATTTTCGCAGACAGAGAAATACAGTTTCATAAAACACATCACAGGGACTCCAAAACATGCAATAACCCCATAGAAATTGGAACCGGGGGATCTGGGTGAACCACATATCCAAAATTCACCCAGATCCGTTCAGTACTTTGGAAGATACAGTTTAATGCAGATTCTGCAGAACATATACAGGCTAAATGAAAAACAATCACCGTACAATGTGTCCCCTGCTGTATAGTCCAAAACCACTGCACGATGTCTCTGTGCACCAAATACTGGCGAGATGGCACCGTGTTGAAAAGTCCAAACAGTGTCTGAGTTAAAATGGCCTCCATCCATTGTTCTCACCATGTGCTCCATCCATTGTTCTCACCATGTGCCTCTGATACAGGAAATGGTGGCCACCCAGTAACTCCACGGTATGTCCCCAGATGGTTCTTAAAGGGCCAGCAGCACC